CCCTTCTTGTACTTGATAATGTAGGGGAAAGTCTCAATAAACTCCATCCATCTGGCAGGTCTCCTCTTGAGATGGGTTTGTCCTCGAAGGTGCTTAAGTGTTTCATGGTCAGTGTGGACCACACACTCTCTTGACATCAAATAATGCTGCCAAGTCTCCAAAGCTCTAACTAGAGCATTTAACTCTTTGTCATGTGTCGAATAGTTATCCGTAGCTCCTCCTAGCTTCTCACTGAATAACACTACTGGTTTCCCTCCTTGTGTCAATACAGCTCCTATGCCAATGCCTGATGCACCATACTCCACTTCAAACGTTTTGTTGAAGTCTGGCAACACCAGATCCGGTGCATTGGTAAGCTTCTCCTTGAGAGTATCAAATGCCTTTTGTTGAGCTTCTCCCCAGGTAAAACCAACACTTGTCTTCACCAACAGCAGTGAGAGGTGCGGCTATACTACTGAAATTCTTGACAAAGCGCCGATAGAACCTTGCTAATCCATGGAAGCTCCTCACTTGACTGATGTTTGTTGGGGATATCAAATGAAAGTAGAATATCAAATGAAAACAAGCAAAAATGAAGATCTAAGTAAGCAGGTAAATAATCGATGGGGTGGTAAACAATAACTAAAAACGCTGGGCTTTAGGGAACTCTATGAGGATCATAATCGGTTTTAACAACTAAGGTAATAGATCGAGATTATTAGATATCAAAATATCTAGGGTTCTAGAGCTAAAGTACGGCGGTATGACTACGTCACTGTCTTGATCATATCCAACTGTCTCTCGCAACCTTGACCAGTAGGTTTCCACTATGACCCTGGAAGGGAAAAAATGCAAGAACTTGTATAGGACTCGTCAATACTCACGACTCACCCATAGGTAGGTTTCCACTCCTATGGCAGAATCGCTCGTTTCATTCTAGGTCGGATACTTAATGAAAACTTTCGCAACAATAATTATCTAGATCAGACACGAGGTGATCAATCACGCATACATGCATTAAGAACAAGAATAAAAAAAGAACATAAAATAAAATCCCAGATCTTAAAACTTAGATGTCTTATTCGATAATGAGAGCCCTTTTCGGGAACCCTATGCCCAACTCAGAATCTACTCAGGCATAGCTGAGGTCAACATCATAATTGGTTTTAATGAAAGCAATTAAAAATAATAAACAAAAGAGATGAAAGAAAGCTTCTCTATTGATGAACTCAAGGTTGAGAAATCTTCTCTACAAATCGCTAAAACAGCTAAGAAAAGTTCACTGTAAAAGTATGGAAGAGATATCTAAAAACGACCTAAATGACAAGTATTTATAGTCTTCAATACTCCAAGGTGTCTAGGGTTTCAGAATTAAGGCTGGGAAATTATTTGGGCTTCAGAAATGGGCTTCTTAACTCGAAGATAGTTGGTCGCGGTCGCATGGTGTGTGACTGTGGTGAATGGGTGCTTGGCCGCGGTTGCATAGCCTTGACTGTGATATATGGCTTGTTGGCCGCGGTCCCATAGCTTTCTGGCCATTTTCAAATGTCTCTGGGACAAATGCTTGAGATCCAACCGTTGGAATGTCTCCAAACCAAGTGAATTTGAGCGCTGGTTGAGTCTTCAGGTAAGTGTCCAATTTTAGGGAATGATTAGACGGTGAAAAGGTCTTCGTCTCTCCTTGAGAGTTCTAACAATCTGAATTTATCCAAAATAGTCTTTTTATTCCAATTCACACCTCTTTCTCCAAAATTACCTGAAAAGTCTTTTAAAATTCGAAAACATAGAAATCCTTTAAAAACCTTTGAAAATTGAGTAAAAACACCTGCAAAAGATATTAAAGTGATCCATAAAAATTGTCAAAATCCGGTGTTATCAATAGTACAAGTATTCTCCTGTGTAGTACCAATACGCACCAGGTGGGACGAATCTGCCAGAACCATCTGGATTCGGATGAGACTTAAGGAAGTCATTGTACTTGCTTCTATGCGTCGTAGAAAAAAGAGAGTTGAGGAAGCAGAGCTGATTGATGCTGCTAGGATTAGGAGGCCGCAGATGAAGTTTTAAATTTATAAACCATAGTTTCTTGCAAATGCACAGTAAGCGAATTAATAAACTGAGGGGTTTTTTATAGGGTTTTTGGTTTTATGAAAAAGAAAAGACAAAATAAAACTAAAAGAGAAGTTGGGCTGTTAAGGATATCTAAGGGATGCTTGATTCTTGCTAGGGTTCTATACTCAAAGGGGTCGACGCAGACTCCTCCCATATGTCCTAATTGATATATAAGTATTTTTCCAATTAGTCTACAGGTATTATGTCTTTATCTATATCTAAGTATCTGCATGGAACTAGAATAGGCACTAATATGGCTAGTGAACTGTCCTCACCCTAACCAACTAATCACTTAAATTCAACAAGTAGCTTTCGTCTCTTGCCGCGAGTAAGATCATGTATTAACTGAACGGGATTCATTCTTGCTCACATATTCTCTGTAGGTATCTTTCGGCTCCTACAACGACTATGTTCTTCTAAAGCTATGTAATGTGATCTGATACATCACTGTCATGGCTCTGATCAATCCTAGATTCAGAGATTAGTTCATAACTCTAACCTCATGCATTAAGTACAACTTAGAAGAAATGAGATCTACAATATGGCTGAGAAAACTAGCAATCCTAATCGAACATATGGATCCTTTCGATGGATCTTTTAAACTCAACTACTAAACTACTCTTACATGATGAAAGAAAACAAAAACATAAAAGAAAGATACATAAACTGAAATAGATTAATAAAAAAGATAAAACTAGGGTTCAAGGTAAAGATCCCTATCTCCCTAACCTAAACCTAAGAAACAAAAGTTGGGTGGCTTAAAAACTCATTACAGGAGAACACACCCGAAATAGAGCTGCTAGGAAATGTATTTATAGGTCCTCAAGTCTTCTAGGTCGTCCTTACGGCTTCTCTAAAGAGAAATTGCGAAATGAGCTTGATTTTGGGCTTTGGGGCCGAGATATGATGCTTCGTGGGTGAGAGTCCTCCTGGACTGGTGGAAAGATGGTCCACTGCGGGTGAGAAGTGTGGGACGCTACCAGAAGGCTGTTTACTGCGGATCAGCTGAATGTCAGGCGTGTTAATGGGACATCTTGATCTTCATGTATCTTTCTATTGAACCGTTGGATTGTCTATTAGTAAAGTGCTATGGAAATGCAGATGGATCCTCTTGAATGTCTCCAATTTTGAGCTACATTTGAGACTGCAATTCTGACGGTTTGACTCTGAGCTGAAAATATGGTTTTTCTCCATTTTTCTATATTTTTCCCTAAGTATCCTGAAAAAAATCTTGAAACTACAAATATAGGAAAACTGTAATGAAAATACTTAAAGCTAATTAAAATTTTTGAAAAAGCATAAGAAATCAATAGTGGAAATGGGTACAAATATGGTGTTATCCACTCCTCCATACTTAAACCTTTGTTTGTCCTAAAAAAACAAGATCCAAGCTTGGAAAAAGCTTTAAACCAAGATCACAGGGACTCAAAATCTCAAAGATCATACCTCTAGAGCATAACCATCGAAATACATCTACCACTACCTAGCATAAAAAAATTATCACCAAAGCAAGTATAACACTAGTTTATGGTGTTGGAATTCATATAATGATTTATAAAACTAGCTATGAATTCAATTTGTAAGAACTCATACAAATACTAAATTGAATCTAGATCATCAGATTTGTAGTATATTTGTAGCGGAGAAGTGAAAGAAAACAAGGTTGTGTAGCACTCCAAACGTCGTGCACACACACAAACTATATCAAGACAGGATGCTAGTGTCGTAGAGATCAGATCTCAAAAACTTGATAAACAATTTATCTCTAATTATGCTTTAGGATTTTCGTGAGAGGCTACCTTAATTAGACATCTCATCATATATCTAAAATATATTAATTTATCAAGGTATTAATTTATCGAATATTAATTTATAGAAGTTATACTATATAATGAAATTACATAACCTAGCACATTAACGCTTAATGGACCAAAGCCCAAACTCTAATAACAAAGTCGAAAACGTAACTTATTTTTACTGTCCATCACGTGCATGCATATAATATATGTCATACATATATTATTCTTTTATTAGTCATGCATTTAAATTATATGTTATATCTAATATAATCATATATATCATTTCTTAAACCCAATATATTATCGATCTAGTATGTTTAGGTGTATAAATCTGTAGGATCAACATTACAACAAATTCATAATCTATAGATTATAAGTGGTTTCTAGTAAAACATTATAACCACCTAATATTATATGATTGTCAAACTTTGACGTTACAACTTCAATTAGAGAAGTTCAGATAATTTTAGGATATTCCTAACAATCTCCCACTTGTACTGGAATCATCTATTCCTATAATTCTTTTATCTCTATATCTCAATCTGAGCATAAGGCAAGAAATTGTGTCATCTTTATTAAATTAGATCATGTGTTATCGAACTCTGATTTATACTGATCAAACAACCAAATGACTGACATTCACCTCGTTTGAGCACGGGCATGCATTTCTCATTATCAAATCTTGTCATTTATTTCAAAGAAATTACTAATATTTTTGTCATTTGACCTGATATCCCTTGATGTTTTCCTTTTTGTTTATAATTATGTCCTTATTTAAAAACAAACTGAGATTTCTGTTTAATTGTTTTGCTATTTGAGATTATTGTATATCTTTGGATCCAGTTTTTTATTTGATTTAAATAAAAAGCGTGTCTAAGAATATTAATGGACTAATTATCAACAACCAATATTCAAGATATCTATAAGCACAACACCACGACCATTACGGCATTACCGCGGGATTCACATAATCAGTCGAACTAAACAATTACAGAGAGAGAGAGAGAGACTTTGACTTTCCACGCCGACGTGCGTCCATGCAAATCAGTCCTTCTATTACCAAACACACACGCAGAAATTAACACATACATATAGTTTTTTCCATTACAAATGAAAATGCGTGTGAAGATTTCTAGGTACGAAAACGTAGAGGAGAGAGAGTTAAAGATGGGTGCGAAACCTCAAAATTCTAGAGGGAAAATCTTCATGGTCTATCTAATAATAATCTCATTGTCACTTCTAGGTTTGATCTTAGCCTTTAAACCTCTTTTTCTTATAGACGAGATCATCAATTCTCCGTCGTCCGATTTGCGGATTGATCTTCCTTCGCCGCAAGTCAATAGGAACCCAAGATGGCTCCGACTTGTCCGTAACTATCTACCGGAAAAGCGAATCCGAGTCGGCTACCTTAACCTCGATGAGCAAGAACGTGAAAGCTACGAGGCTAGTGGTCCGTTGATTCTGAAGAATGTCCACGTGTCACTGGATCCTATCCCGGCAAATGTCACTTGGAAGAGTCTCTTCCCAGAGTGGATCGACGAGGAGGTTTCTTACTGCCCCGAAATCCCTCTCCCTACGCCAGAAGGTTCTGATGCTGACGTGGACGTCATTGTTGCTAGAGTTCCATGCGATGGATGGTCGGAGAATAAAGGGCTAAGGGATGTTTTCAGGCTCCAGGTTAATTTGGCGGTGGCGAATTTAGCTGTCCGGAGTGGGTTACGGAGGGTTGATTCGACGGTATACATTGTTTTCATCGGGTTATGTGGGCCCATGCATGAGATCTTCAAGTGCGATGAGCGCGTGAGGCGCGTGGGGGATTATTGGGTGTATAAGCCTAATCTCCCAAGGTTGAAGCAGAAGCTTCTCATGCCTGCTGGTTCATGTCACGTTGCTTCTCCATTTGCTCAAGTCGGTAAGTTTTGATTTTTTTCCTCTCTTTATTTTTCTAGAGAAATAGATTTGATTTTATAACTGAATTTTTTATTTAATATATTAAAATTTCACTATTCTTAAAAAATGGACAGTAACTTATTTTGTGTTATTTCGACATTTTATATAGATATTATTATCATTTAACCGTTATATGCAAAAGAATATAATGATTAATTAATTAATATTGAAACTATATAAAAAGTAACAATGTAGAAATTAATTTGCAAAAACGAAATTAATTATTTTTCCTAATAAATAGCAATTGATTAATGAATTATGAAATTTTAACAAATGTTAATTAAGTTCTTTTGGATAGTCTTTATTGCTATCCCGTACTTGTTTTTAGTGAAAAGTGAGAACTACGAGGTTAATGGTTGGTGCGATTAGATCGTGCTGCACAGTATGCATTTTCTAAATTTGATATTGCGACATATATAGTTTGTTGACGTATTCATAATTAAAATTGTTTATTTTATATAGTAAATTGGGTAAAACAGAAAATTGAATTGTTTTTTTAATGTGTGAAAAGATCTAAAACTACCTATATTTTGAAACGAGGGAGTAATTTTAAATAGTACTAATTAATTCATCCCACATATAGGACTAAAAAACTCTATTTTCCTACATTGGAAATTAAGGACGTGGATCACAAAACAAACTTCAATCATTTTAAAGTACAGCTTAATGTTGGATGAAATTATTGCATGACACGTCTAAATTGTTTTCTTCTCTCAAAACTTGTAGTATATATTTATTAAAACTCGTTAAACATATTTCGTCACTATATCATTTTTATTCAGGGAAAGAATGATAAAATGATAATATAGACTTTAGATCATGGAGTAATTATCTAAATTTTGAGTTTTATATTTGATTCAATATACAGTAAAACATCTATAAATTAATACTCGATAAATTAATAATCACTATAAAATAATAAATTTTGCTGGTTCTAATTCGAGTCAATGTAAAAATTCATCAAATTCGATAAAATAATATAATAATATTTTTTTGAAACACATATGTAAATATATGGTCCCAACAAAAACAAAAAAAATAATAATTATATAAATTTATGCAAATATATGTAAATATAATGTTCTAAAATATGACTAATATGTTTGCTTTTACTTATTGTTGAAATCTAATTGGATTTCATCTCTCTAATTATTATATTAGTAGTTTTTACTGTTGTTTTAGGATATACATTTAAAATTTATGATGATTTTTTTGATGTGATAATTAATTTTCTTACATGTAAATATTTTTAAATGTACTGTAGTGATATCTTCAATTTTATCATCAATAATATGGATAGTAACAATATTTTTTTTAATTAATTCAAACATATAAATATATATATATATATATAAACTATCCAATATGCTATTAAAAACTACTATAATGCAATAGCTATCATTGTTAATCATAATTTGAATTAAGAGATTTGTTTAAATTTTTAAATATAACATTATTAGAAAGAAAGTTTTAGAAAATTATATGTGCAAAACAAAGTTTCTCTATAAATTAATAATTATTAATTTATAAATAAATTAATATCACAATAAATTAATAAAATATTATGGTTCTGATATTATTAATTTATAGAGGTTTTATCGTATATGTATTCCTTTGTAATATGTAATCATACAACTCAATAGATTTGAGTACAACCCTCAACCTGCTTCCCACAAACCCTAGTTATTCACCAAAGTTTTCTCTTTTCACTCATTCTTCTCATTGCTTCATTTATCAAAATATTGCTAATTTTATCTCACTCACGATTTTAGAAATATGATTATTTACAGGCCAAGAAGTATGGAGACAAAAAAATGAAGATAATCTTACATCCGAGGCGATCAGTAAGCAACGGGTCGCCTACGTGACAGTACTACACTCATCCGAAGCCTATGTTTGTGGTGCAATAGCCTTAGCACAAAGCATAAGACAATCAGGATCGAATAAGGACATGGTTCTCCTCCACGATCAGTCCATAACCAACAGGTCCCTTCTTGGTCTCAGCTCTGCGGGATGGAACCTTCGGCTGATTGACAGAATTCGCAGTCCTTTCGCCAAAAAAGACTCTTACAATGAGTGGAACTACAGCAAATTGCGTGTGTGGCAAGTAACTGACTATGATAAACTTGTGTTCATAGATGCAGATTTCATCATTCTCAAGAAGATGGATCATCTCTTCTACTATCCGCAACTATCGGCTTCAGGCAACGACAAAGTGTTATTCAACTCCGGAATCATGGTAATATAATTTCAGTTTAACAAATTATAAATTAACAAATAATTTGGTGAAACGTTCTAGAAATAAAATTTGAAATAGCAATCTTATTGGCGAAAAATCTTTTCTTAATAATTCAGGCAACACATCCTGTGCATATACTATATTGAAAAAAAAATTGCCTGAATTTTGATATTAAACCAATTAAGCCAGCTGAATAGAGAAAATAGTCCAGCAGAATATGACCTATTTTCTTAACATTTTGTTTCCATGTTGCTTATATATTTTCCCGCCAGAAAAGTTAGACAACTGTTTATATTTTGTATTTGTTTTATATTCTCTCTGATATTCTCACACTTCTACGGTACTTCTACCAAATCATTTAAAAAAAAAAAATTATTATTTATGTAAAACATCTTTTATTTTGAAACAAAGGGAATATCAATTCAAAAGTAGTACTTTAATTTTTCTTACATCTGCAGGTTTTTGAGCCATCGCCATGTTTGTTTAAAGAATTAATGGAGAAATCCTTCAAGATCAATTCATACAATGGCGGAGACCAGGGTTTTCTCAATGAGATATTTGTATGGTGGCACAGGTTATCAAAAAGAGTGAACACAATGAAGTACTTTGGCGAAAAACTCAAAGGAACGCACGATCTTCCGGAGAACCTAGAGGGTGTGCACTACTTGGGATTGAAGCCATGGGTATGTTACAGAGACTATGATTGCAACTGGGACATAAGCGTGCGGCGTGTGTTTGCAAGTGATTCGGTGCATGAAAAATGGTGGAAAGTATATGACAAGATGTCAGATCAGTTGAAGGGTTATTGTGGGTTGAATAAGGAGATGGAGAAGAGGATCGAGAAGTGGAGGAGAATTGCTGAGAACAATAGTTTGCCTGATAAGCATTGGGAGATTAAAGTGAAAGATCCTAGGAAGAAGAATCTTCTTGTTCAGTGAGAGGGTTTTAGCTTTTTGATTTTGCTGGAGACTTGTAGAAATTTGGGAACTGAGACTGAACTTCTGATTCAAGAAAAGAGTTTTGCCCCCGAAAGTTTTAAAAGATACAGTGGAGAATTTTGGGACGACAGTTTACAATGTAGAATGTTACTAATCCACATTGTTTATTTATTTATACAGTCGTTTAATCATATGATTAAATTAATAAATTTCTAACATTTGATGTTTCCTATTTTCTTTAAAAACAAAACTTGGCTCTTGTTGTTTGGTGATATTGTGTGATATATTTTAAAAATATGTTAATGCATGTAAAAAAAGTTCACAAGAGGAGAGCCTTCATCATTTATTACTGGTCATTACACTTAATGCTTGCATAGGAAAATGCATGAATTCAACCCATGGGAGCAAAACTTGGACCTACCATTGGTCAACCACTTAAACCCTCTCACGGGTTCTCCACATTTTCGTCCACCATACTTGGTTCTTCTCTCGGGTCATGTTGGTTTTCTCATTGGATCAGCCACATTGGTTTAGCCACACGGTCTAAATTTTAACATCCACTCTCAAGATCGGCTTAAGAAGAAGCTAATCTTGCCATGAAGACCGTTTGGACATCATCCCCTCTTCAACTCTAGCTACACATTATTAATAATTGTTTTGAACAGCACAATGCCGTCAAAGAACATAACACCACCTTTAGAGCACATCAAAGGACGGATCTGATGTTCCACAGTGCATAGAAATATGACGTGAACGACCTGGTCCTCATCAAACCACTTCGAATATGCTTAACAGTTGACATGAACTGGATGTGTTGAGAACCTCTTCGACTTCCTCCTTTCTTACGGATTTTTCTTTCTCCTTTGCAGAAACTTGAGAATCATCAAACATGCTGCCATAGACCAGGATTACTAAAAGCAGTTTCGTGGCCATACACGGAAAAAAAATTTATCCTCTCTGAAAATAACAAGAACAATTTGACTTGAGTTTTCAATGACAGATCTTGAAGAATTAAAGATTCATAGAATAGAGCAGAGAATAGGAACCGACCAGAGAATAGAGAAGGAGAATAGGGTTGCAGAATCTTAGCTCTCTGCTACCATGTAAAAATTTGTTATACACAGGCCTTTGTCTATGTAGAAATCTGTGATAGCACCAGTTAGGTGCAAACGCTCTAAAACAATATTAATGTTCCTAGAGAAGAGACTGACAGCGAGTGACTTGTAGAGTATGAGAACGTGAATGTAGAGTGAGAATACGAGACAATAAGAGTACCAGACATATTTGGAAGAATAAAGAATATAGGAGAATCACAATGACCAGAACAAGCTTAATGAGAGCGGTTTGTGATTCACTTCATTAGAACTGATTATCGAGGAATATACTAAAATACAAGCTGTCTAAGAGCTGAACAATAGTAGAGAATAGAGTAGACAACAAGCTCAATAGAGCCTCTCTTCCTTCTCTCGTACGTTTATTCAATGCCATAAGTTATATACTCATAGAATTTTTTTTTATAATACTGTCCAACAGCTTTATTCTAGGAAATATGACATAATAAACGATAACTAGACTAAATACTATTTCAAATTCATGCATGTAAGAGCCTTCATCACTCATTGCTGGTCTAAACACTTAATGATCAGATTGGAAAATGCATAGATTTAGCACATTGGACCACTACTTTGACCTACCAGGCATTGGTCAACCACTTAAACTGTCTCATGGGTTCACTATGCTTGAGTCCACCATACATGAGTCCTCCATCAGGTCATCCTCGATCTTGGGTCATGTTGGTTTTGCCATTTGCGTCAGCCACATCGGTTTGGCCATACCGTCTGAATTTCAACAAATTTGACATCTCAAAAGGCTTTACAAACTAACAAAAAAAACAATTATCAACTTATGGAATTGCATATGCATAAAGATCCAAACAAATAATACCTTTTATCATCCTATTGGAGGTTTTTATGTGCAACTATGGTGATTTACAATTAATAAATTATCAAGAGATTCATGGCCAATTACTTTCAAAATGGCCAGTGTTGGCCAGGTGACTGTTGTTGTGAGTTAAATCATGTTGCAGAAACTAAATGTAGCCAAAACACATGCAAAACAAAGATTTATTTAAAGTAAATCCTGTAAACTAGAGCGCATACATAATAGACTTATTAGTACCCCATTCTCATCTACGGAAAATTGAGAACTTCTTGAACCAAATAAACCGTAGAATCTCCTGCAGCAGAAAAGAGCATCTCATAATTCAGAAAGAAGTTCTCATGATTCTCGTTGGTTGATTAAGAATATGCTCATGATCATGCTAAAACCATTATACACAAGTTATAATTTATGCCATTATTTAGTGAAACTCTGTTACTAAATAAAAAATACAGTTTGCAACGACAATTTTCTCAACCATCACCAACGAAATCACTAGGTGAAAATCAGAATCACATAATGTCTCCATCATCTGCAATTGATTTCAAGACTCTTGAAATGTTATGGTTAGGAACACAACCAGGGTATAAGCACATGAAGAAGTTCGGTTTTGTAGCTTATGTGTATTCAGCATCTGATGAGGAAATCGATTTTTTGAAGAAGAATGAAATTTGGGATCTAGTCAATAGACCTAAAGACAGAAATAGTATCAGCTGCAGATGGATATTCAAGGTATAGCCAGGAATTAAAGATGTTTAGCCAGATCGTAAGGCTTGGCTTGTAGGTAAAGCCAAGACAATTTTTATGAAAGGAGAGAATTGACTACCAGAAAATATTCTCGCCGGTAGTGAAACATGTTTCCATAAGGATACTCTTGTCCTTAGTGGTTAATTTTGACTTGTAATTGGAGCAAATGGACATCAAGACTGCATTTCTTCATAGAAATTTGGAGGAGGATCTATATATGTATCAGCTAGAAGTCATGGTGTTGTATTGGGTAATTTTACCCTACTCTATCCAAACCTGAAATGAACCCGCCATTATAAGCTCTATTTCAATTAACTCTATTGGGTTTTATTACTCTATAGTGTAACCCGAAATAAACCCGTGAGTTTTTGGTTACCCGCGGTTACCCTATCTTTTTTCTATTATTTTTTTTTGTATTTTGCAAAATAAATAATATAAATTATATTTTTAATTTTTATTATCCATTTGACCATAAACAAGAATTATTTGAAACATAATTTTGCAAATATGAAGCTCAAAGAAAGATGTATAAATAAGAAACATTTGAAAAAGGATTTTGGAATTATAACTAAAAAAATAAACAAGTTTAGGCTAAAAACTTAGTGCACCATCACTTAAAACTTAGTCATACAAATATAAAAATAGTCGACATCTCACACGTTTTTATCTTGGTCCTGAGCTACCTGCCGTAGTAGAATCTTCATTTCCGTCATCAAAGTTATATTCAATATCACCTAAAATTTGAAAATATGAATTAGTTAAACAATATACTTAAAGTAAAGAATCTATAAACTAGTTTTGATTACCTTCCTCTGCAAAACCATGAAACCAATTGCGCATGCAAATCAATGCCTGAACATTTTTTGGAAGAAGGCGGTTTCTATATGGGTTTAATACCCGACCTCCAGTACTAAAGCAGACTCAGAAGCCACTGTAGTAATGGGAATACTAAGCAAATCACTAGCTAGAGAAGCCAAATCACCATAGCGTTGCCCGTTGTTTTTCCAATAGTTTAGAACTTCAATGTCAGTAAAAGACCTCAAATCTAGCCGGGGTTCCTCCAAATAAATATCCAATTCGATTTTGTATTGTCTAAACCAGGTTGGATACTCCTCTCAAGCTCAAAAAGATCCTATAACAACAAAAACATATGAAACACATGATAAAAATGCACGAGATACAATATTCTATTGAACAAGAAAAGATTAGAAAACGACTTACATAATTAGGATCATCTTCTAGTGGTGATTCAGTAAGAAGCTCATGTGCAGTTGATCTTGCTGAAATAGTCGAAGAAGTCCAAGAGTTGGTCCTATATTCTTCATAAAGCAACTTCAGATTTTTCTTAACTATAGCATCAACTTTGTCATAAGCTGATTTAAGTATTTGGGTCTTCAGCTTCGGATCTAGAACAGCTCCCATAGCTAGAGTAAGACTGTAGTCATCCCAATACTTTGAAAATTTAGATTGCATCTTCCCAGCCATGTCCTCCATTGCACTATCCCCACAACTAACATACTTTCTCAATAAACACTCGGTTTTCCACATTTGTAGATAATAGATATTAGCTGTAGGATATTTAACGCCAGAGAAATAAGTGGTAATGGTACTAAATGGCTTCAAAAAATCACAAATCTTCTCTCCTCAATCCCATTCATCCTCAGAAGGCAGTGATTTATAATTCCTATCACACGCTTTAAAGCTAGCAAATGCCCTGCAAAACTTCAAAGCCCTAGCAAGCATCTCATATGTTAGTTCCAACGTGTTGGTACGTCAAGAGACAACCCAGCTCCACTTTTGATACCTAAACTTTCAACACATTGTGCAAATGAGTCTATACTTGATTCAGATGCTTTAAAAAATCTGACACTATCTCGAATGTTATCCAAAAGACTTGTAGCTAGCTCCAATCCTTCTTGCACTATGAGATTTAGAATATGCACGCAACATCTAACATGAAAGAATTTTCCGTCACACAGCAATCCATTACCAGTGATCATCTGTAAATGATGCTTAAGAATGTTCTGCATACTGGGTATTAGTTGTAGCATTATCCAACATCATAGAGAAAACTTTTCTCTCTAGATGCCATTCCCTTAAGCAACTAAGAACTTTACTAGCCAATTCTTCACCAGAATGTGGCGGTTTCAATTCACAAAAAGCAATAATTTTATTGTTTAATCTCCAGCTATCATCGACATAGTGTGCAGTTAAACAGATGTAGCTCATCATAGTGTAACGAGCTGTCCACATATCTGTTGTAAAACTCACTCTGCCTTTGTGCTCTACAAATACCTTTTTCAACATTTCCTTTTCAATTTCATATCTCTTAAAGATATCAGATGCAGCTGTTTGTCGACATATATGCCTAACCATGGGGTTCAAATACTCAGCTCTAGCCCTAACCTTTTCATACTCAACATATCTGAAAGGCTGATCATGGTAGATAATAATCTCACTAATCATAGCACGGTCTACTTTGTGATCATACTGATTTTCTTCACTTTCTGGAGGCCTCATTGGACAACATTTTAAATGGCGGTTCATAGCTGAAGTTCCCTGAGTAGATTCCAAAACTAACTTCTTATTACAGTGGATGTATCTACTCCTATGTTTACCATCTTCCTCTACTCCAACTGACACAAACTCATTCCAAACCTTAGATTTTTGGCGTTTATTAGAGTTTGGTACCTTTTGAACTGGTTGAGTAGGTTGTGTTTCACTGTGTGTTGCAGCTGGAGTCGCTTCTTCATCCTCATTAATTTCCATATACTCATTCTCAGCATTAAGAGCTGCCATTGTCTCAAGTGTATGAGAATCCATTCTACAAATTTTTTAAAAATGCAATTAGATTAAAAAAAAAAAATCTGAAGGAAGCAACCAATAAACAACCAATAATGATTCATGTTCCTTATGCTGTAGTAAAGATATTACTCAGGAACATATGAGAGTTCTTAGAATCACACCGTCTCTAGACCAATGAATGGTTGTTTCCTTCTTCTCCTTCATAATGGGATATACCCTTGTACCTGAGTTTCCGACAAAGTGAAATCAGAAAGTTATGACCAAGACAGATAAAGCTTGGGTCTTTGGATTCTAGAAAAAGCTCGAGTCTATCACTTAAAGAGGCCATAAAGCTAATGAATTAACATACAAATACTTTAATTCCATCTTCGTATTCCGAGATTCTCAGATGGATTTGGTATCTAGCTTTGACTTGTTTAGCAATAACCAAACTTAATTCACTAAACTAACATCAAATAGAATAAAGCAGCTTTGGTTTATTGAGAAACAGCAACTAAATAAACACTCGAATCTGCAACGCTTGTAGCTCAAACAAGAGAAAGAGAGAGAGAGAAGGCAAACAAAAATCATACAAAATCAAAATTAAAACCGAGAGTTTAGAGTAATCACAGGAGCATGAGAGAGCAAACCCAGAAGGTAGAAACTAGCAGAGTCAAATTCAGATCTAACACAGTACTGCAATTGATACGTTTAATCCGATGGATCACAATCGACCCACATTCCAAATACATCTAAACTGGTTCTGATCGACAATTTCAAAATCAGAATCATTATCACATGAAGCAAAATCTAAAGCACAAACCCGATAAAATTACTAGGAGTTAACATCTAAACTCTAAAGCCATTCAAGTTCTAATTAAACCTCCCAATGAAGCAAGAACCAGTTTAAGCACAAACCCATCCCGATTCCTCTCCATATAATCTATCACAAGAGAAATAAAGCAATTTGGGGAAAACAAACGTACATGGATCCGACTCGATTGCAATGAACGCTCAACACAGAAACCCACAAATCTGGGTTTAGAGATTATTTTTGCGAGAAGAAGATGGAAGAAAACGATAGAGGGGCAAAACAGCATCGTTTTTGCAAGAGTGTTTTGTTAAAAAAAAACCATGGGTACCCTAAACCCGATAGAGTAGAACCCGACAGGGTAAAATGAAAGCATGACCCACCCGTTTTTTTTTTGCTAAAATAACAAAGTATTGGGTTTAAAAAAATATGAGGGTTTCGGGTTTACATCGGATAAAAACCCAACAATAACACCCCTAGCTAGAAGGGTATGAGAATCTACAAAACAAAGATAACGTATGTTTGCTCAAGAAATATCTGTACGCCTTAAAACAGTCTCCAAAGAAGTGGAACAAGAGATTTGATCAAGTCATGACATCTCAAGGATTCAGCACGAGTGAGCATGATTTGTGTGTTCACACAAAGGAAGTTGCGCGAGGAAATTACATATACTTACTTTTTTATGTGGATGACATATTGTTGGCTGCGAAGAATATGTCTGATATTAACAAAGTGAAGAAGGAGCTGAGTACAATGTTTGAGATGAAAGATTTAGGTCTTGCAAGGAGAATTTTCGAAATTAATATTTTCAAAGACAGAAAAAGGGTGCTCAGGTTGTCTCAGTGGAAGTATTTGAAAAAGGTTGTGAAGAATTTTAGAATAGATGGTGCTAAGAGTTCTCAAAACCCTATTGGAGCTCATTTCAAGTTGTTGTTGGTTAAGAATGACAATGTGCATTAACACAGAGGTAACTCCCTATTTCCCTGATGTAGGTAACATCATGTATGCAATGGTAGGATCTGGGCTGGATTTAACATATGGAATTGGTCTAGTGAACCACTTTATGAGTAGACAGGTCATAATCATTGGGAAGCTGTGAAGTGGTTGTTATGGTATATCAAGGGATCTGCAGGAGTTCAGTTGGTGTACACAAGGGGAAAAAAATTACAGATTCAAGGCTATTGTAATTCAGATTTTGCTGCTGATTTAGACATGAGGAGGTTTATATCTGGGTATGTTTTCATAATAGGCGGTAATATTGTAAGTTAGAAGTTGAGTTTACAACCAGTAGTAGCTTTGTCAACGACTGAAGCTGAATACATTTCACTGATAGAGGCAGCAAAGGAAGCTATTTAGCTTAAGGGTCTGTTTCAAGACTTTGGGTTTCAATATGGAGCAGTGAAGCTACTTGTGACCCTCAAAGCATCATATGTTTGTCAGAGAATAATGTATTCTATGAACGCACAAAGCATGTTGCGGTGAAATACTACTTTATTTGAGATATTATTGCAGACGAGAAAGTTGAAATCTTGAAGATTCACACAAGTAGGAATCCAGCTGATATTTGACGAAGGTGGTTCATGTGGGTAAGTTTGACTTAACGTTAGACTTACTTAAAGTCACCAAAGTTTGAAAAGATAGAGGTGAGCTAGGTGGTGTAAATCTGGATGGCTATAGTTTATAGGAGGATCGAAGAGGTATTGGCATAAAAAGGAAGATGGTAAACATATTGATATAACTCCAAGGTAGAGAATGTTGAATAGTGGTCTAATATTCAATCTTGTTTATTGGCTAGTTTAATGTCTGGGTTTAGGTTAGTTAGACATTGAGATTGGTTATCGAATTGATCAAATTGACGTAAGGTTTTGGTTTATCCCAGTTTAGGGAAAGTTGTTTTAGCTGTTAGACACAGTTGTAATAAAACGTCTTCTACCTTGCGAGCTTTCAAACTTTGAGACTCGTGCTTTCTTCGATCTAGTGAAATTTTCGGATGGAGATCTGGTCCTAGAGACGTAGATCTCCTCACTAAAAGTAAACCCTAGGTAACTAATTTGTGTGTTTTTTAATTGTTTACTGGTTTTTTTCCTTGTGTATGTCAGTATGTGAGTGATCAAAAAGCGAGAGAATTTTAAATTGATTCTTGGTGTTTTAGTGGAGGTTCGAGCTTGATCGAGCTTTGCGAGTAATCGATTAGGTGTAATAAGGTCGATAACCCAACGCATGTGCAGATTTTATTACTCATAAAGCCTATACTTATTCTGATTACTCTGCTTTGTTAGATTGAAAGAGAAAATTTTGATGTTTGTTTGTTATTTATTTATTTAGTTTTTGTTTTGGTCAGCCATTCCATTAAAAACCCATGAAGGAGCAGTATAGTACAATATTCAAAAGCCAACCCTTACAAATTCACGGTTTAGATAAAAGCTCAAACGTTAAATCCATTAAGTATAGATAACTAAAGATGGTTGACGGGAAAGTGCCACTGCTGTCGGATTCTGCCGTCTCAGAAGCAGGAAAGTCGACTTTGCGAAGAAAGTTGAATGGAAAAGCATCAAAGGACGACTCAAATTCTCTGAATATTGCAAAATCTTTTGCATAAAACCCATAAGAAGAAGAGCCATTTATTCTCCTTAAATCAAATCCATGGAAAACACATAAGCTCAAGTTAAACTACTCCTCGGAAGACCATCAAACACAACAAAGAATTCCAACTCGTCGTACTCTGAACCAAACAATCTGAAAAGCTTTGAAGCATCCACCATAGAGAAACTACACCTTTTAATCAGGGCGGTGAAGATTCAGTCTCTTATTGAAAGAAGAACAAAGAAGTCTGATAAAAAGGAGAGTCATTTTTATTTCTAGGAATTGAATTGACGAACATGCAAAAGAGAGAACAAAAGATAAAACTTATTCCAAATCCAGAAATAGCGATCCGGACGATGCTGGAAATTATTATCCAATTAACACAGAAATGGAAACCGAACAAAGTCTGAATATTAACAACAACAAAACACCGGATGAATCCGGTGAAATATTCTGATTTCAGATTGAAATCAGAATTCGTCTCTCTCAAGGATATGTGAGAGTGAAGAGAGAGAAACAATTTATTTTTATTTTTTTAACATCTTTTGTTTTGGGATTTCTTTTAAGTAAATGTACCATATGACCTTGTTACTATTCATAATTAGGTAAATGGGAAAAACAACTATTCAAGTATTGTGCATTTTTCAATAATACAATTTTACCCCTATTTAGTTTTTCCTCTAACTCTCTCTCTTTCACATATCTCTTTCCCTCCCTCACTACAATTCGAAGCCTACAGCGACGAACACTCTCTCTCACACCTATTTCTTTCTCTTCCTCACTACAATTTGAAACATAGACAGCGATGAAAACTATAATTTATTGTTGTCTTTTTTGTTTAAATGTTTTAATACGTACCTACTCAGATTTTGTTCTCTGTGCTCTAATGGTATAAATGATTGATTTTTTGTTAAGTTCTGCAAACCGGATCGAATTTTGCTCTAGATCTGTCAAGCTTCATCACAAATCATGACAATGTTTCCAGAGGACGACTCGATACAAATCTGCAAGGTGTGGAACGAGAATCTTGAATCAGAGATGGCACTGATTCGAGAAGTCGTCGACGATTTCCCTTTCGTCGTCATGGATACTGATTCTAGACAGATGTTTTAGTGCAATATATAAATTGTTAACATGTTAAATTTATTTGTATCGCGTTAAACAAATTAATATCATACTTTTAAAGTAACCTAGATAGCTGTAAATGTATATGCTCTAAAACGTAGATAGTTGTCAATGTCTTAGCTCTAACTAAGTTTCAATGTTTTGAAAATAAATAACATGTTAGCGAATACAAATATTATGTTAGAAATGATAAATAAATTGTTAGCGGATAAAAATAGTATATTATAAACGTTAAATAAATTATTAACGAATACAAATTTAGTGTTAGTAAGATAACATATCCTTTATTGATGTAAACTTAGAATTAGCAAGATGAAATAATATTTATCATATTAATAAAATATGTAATATGATAATAAGTTATGTAATTGTATAATTTATATGTTAACGAAAGAAAAATGATGAAAGAGAAACTCCATACGGAAAGAAAGACTCCTAACAAAAGAATGAGAGGTTAAAAAGTAATAACACTTTCAAAGTGTTTGACAATTGTCTTATCAATTTACTGTTTTCTCATTTTCTTAATTTTGACCAGAATATAGAATTTTTAGAAAACTGTCTCATTTCTTTTTCCGCAATTCTTTTCGTTTAATATTTTTTTTTCTTTTTTTAAGTTTCGTGACTTTCGTTCTTCGGTATTTCTGTATTTGTAAGTCATTTATTTATTTTTGAAAATGGAATCTCCTACCCTTTTCCCCCACTCTCAATGGAAATCTGAATCCTCTAAAATCGCCAGATGAAACACAGAAACACAAAAGAACACTGAATATTTCGAAACAGTTTCAAATGCAAGATCTCTTCGGATCGGTTCGCCGGTCACTAGTCTACCGTTCTACCGCCGACGATGAGAACCAAGAGAACCATCCTCCGTTTCCTTCTCTTCTCGCCGATAAAATCACTTCCTGCATCCGCAAATCGAGGGTTTTCGTCAAACCCTACTCATCACCACCTCCTCCTAACACCACCGTTCAAATCAAACCTCCGATTCGGTGGCGGAAAGGTCAGTTGATTGGCCGTGGCGCCTTCGGTACTGTTTACATGGGGATGAATCTCGATTCCGGAGAGCTTCTCGCCGTTAAACAGGTCCCATTTCTGAAACTTGGCTATTTGATTTTGATTTCGACTCTTAGTTAAGTTTGATTCCGCTAATGAGTTATCTGCTAGGTCTGCAAGCTGATTCGTTCTAAATCTCTGATAAACCCAGCAGCTTAGTTCGTTTAGTTAATCAAAGAATTGTATTTCGTTTTCAGTGTTCACTCTAATGGTTTATACAATTGATCATGAACACATTTCGAATTAGATTTTTTTTTGCTTTGATAGGTTTCGATGTGACCTGATCATGAATTGATTGTAACTAGCCAATTTTTAGTAATTTGAAACTGTAATCCTCCTCGAAATTTTGCTTTGTCGCCTTAGTAGTAAACCCAGAAGCTTAGCTTGTTTCAACCACATGATTCTACTTCGTTTTCGGTGTCCACTCTAATGATCATGGTCACATTTAGGGTTTTTGTGTGGATTTGAGTGGTTGCAGATTTGACTTGATCATGAGCTAAGTTTAGTTGTTTCTACTCAGGTTCTGATTGCATCCAATTGTGCATCCAAGGAGAAAACTCAGGTTTAACAAACAATACAACCTGTTTCTTTTTATATATATATTTTTGTGCTACATTTCCTTTTCTTTTGTCCATTACATGATCTTAATTGTTTCTCTCTGTCTCTCTACAATGAGCTGATTGATTCATTACATGACTTTCCTACTATGTTTCCAAAAAAAAGGCTCATATTCAGGAGCTTGAAGAGGAAGTTAAGCTTCTCAAGAATCACTCCCATCCAAATATAGTTGTAAGCACTGAACGCTTCTATATTCTTGCAATGCTGATAGATTCATCAGTTGTTTTTTTTTTCTAACTCAGACATTCCATTTTTGTATCCTTAGAGGTATTTGGGCACGGTGAGAGAAGATGAAACTTTGAACATCCTTCTTGAATTTGTTCCTGGTGGATCCATATCATCTCTCTTAGAGAAATTTGGACCATTTCCTGAATCTGTAAGTCACTACTTAAAAAATCTTTTGGGTTTTCCTTATATGTTAATCGTGCTAACAATGTCTTTTAAACTGATTGACTAAGGTTGTTCGGACTTACACGAACCAACTGCTTTTGGGCTTGGAATACCTTCATAATCATGCAATTATGCACCGTGACATCAAGGTATCTGTTCTTTCACGTACTATGAAAGTGTTTCAGAAATATCTCGTCTCCTTGCTCGTGATAGTCTAGGTTCTTCTGTTCTCAGGGTGCTAATATCCTTGTAGATAACAAAGGATGTATTAAACTTGCTGATTTTGGTGCATCCAAACAGGTAGCGGAGTTGGTAAGTCAGTTTTCAGTCTTCTATTAAGTAAAACCATTCGACTCTGTGTTTTCTAGTCTTGAAAGTTGTTCTTGTAACATATTCTTTATCATGATTCCCATCTAATACAATTGGATTTATCTCTAGGCTACTATTTCGGGTGCCAAATCTATGAAAGGGACTCCCTATTGGATGGCTCCAGAAGTTATCCTTCAAACTGGGCATAGCTTGTAAGGATCAACTAAAACATGTTCGTATTTACAAGATTACATGATTTGTAGTCGATTTCATATTACATGTGCCTATTTTACGCAGCTCTGCTGATATATGGAGCGTAGGGTGCACAGTGATTGAAATGGTGACCGGGAAAGCTCCTTGGAGTGAGCAGTATAAAGAGGTGCTTAATTTTGTATACCTTTTTATTCACTTGTGTGAATAATTTTGTTTCTTGAACTTATGTGGACATATTTTCTTCTCAGATTGCTGCTATCTTCCACATTGGAACGACAAAGTCACATCCTCCAATCCCTGACAATCTCTCCTCTGACGCAGAAGATTTTTTACTCAAGTGTCTGCAAAAGTAAGCTAATTGTGACCCATAAATTTTAGATTAGAAATCAAACGTAACATCTGTTACTTCTCGTATGGATTGCTGAAACATCATGTCCTGTCTTGGCAGAGAACCAAATATGCGGTCTACCGCTTCTGAGCTGCTAAAGGTGAATAGTCAATAGTGTAGTGAAATCCAATGATGTCACATGTTTTAATTCTTTGAGTTGTAATGTTCTTGCTTTTCTTTCATTGGTAGCATCCGTTTGTTACGGGCAAACAGAACGAGACTGCTTCTACAGTTCTTGCTTCCGTCATGGTACGTTCACATTATCCAGCTATCGAATATCGTCTTAGTTTTTCTGTAAGAGTTTTGATAGTATGTCGCTTTGTGTTTATACTTTCAGGAAAATTCAAGCATTCCTTTACCATCAGCGTTAACGGGCATGAAAAGCTAGTAAGCGCCGACCTGAAGCCAAACCTTTTAAGCTGAATTTCTGACTTCTGACTGTCTGTTCCCTTTTCTTACAGTCAAATATCTACGTGCGACGATGTAGGAGACATCTGTAACTTGGGTAGTCTGAGTTGTACACTTGCTTTTCCAGAGAATTCAATCCAAAACAACAATTCGTGGCGGAAAAATAATAATGGGTATGACAATGATGATGATGACATGTGTTTGATTGACGATGATAATTTCTTGACATATGATGGGGAGGCTGGCCCTACTCTTGAGAAAAATTCTGATGCCGAGAAGGTAAGCCTCTGTGTAATTCACCTTTCTAATCAACATGTCAGATTTTTCCTTGAACAATCAAATCGATTTAGGTTTCATATTATTTCTGCAAGCATAACTTGCAAACTTTGGGCAGAGCTGTGATACCATGAGTGAGATCTCTAATATCTTGAAGTGCAAGTTTGACGAAAGTTCTGGGAATGGAGATACAGTTACGAAAATCAGCATGGAAGTGGACCAGCCATCATACTCGGAGGATGAAAATGAGCTGACCGAGTCAAAAATTAAAGCTTTCTTAGATGAAAAGGTGACTCATGTTCAATGCTTTATTTCCACAACGCATTTGATATCCAACTCAGAGTTTGCAAATATTGACTTCTTGGTAAAATGTCTTAACTATAGGCTACAGATCTAAAGAAGTTACAGACACCTCTCTTTGAAGAATTCTACAACGGTTTGATCACATGCTCTCCCAGCTACATGGAGAGTAATATCAGTAACAATAAACGAGAGGAGACGCCTCACGGTTTCTTGAAACTACCTCCAAAAAGTAGGTCTCCGAGTCAGGGCCATTTTGGCCGTTCACCTTCTAGAGCAACAGATCCAGCTTGTTGTTCCAAGAGCCCAGAAAGCCGTAGTAGCTCCACTGTGCCGAAAAATAGCAGTGCAAATGCAAGTGCTGATGCTGAGCAGGTATCAAACAGCCAGAGGTAAGTTCTACTGCAGCTATCGCTCTGCTTAGAATTTAAGGTTTCACTTTAACGGTTTCGATTCATTTATCTAGTGACGTTAACTAGAAGCCAAAATGTTTTTGTAATTGGGTTGTTTTCGACTTTGCAGTGTTGCACTGTCCGAAATAGAGAGGAAATGGAAGGAAGAGCTTGACCAAGAACTTGAAAGAAAGCGAAGAGGTAACTGCATTTTTCATGAACTCATCGTTCCTTGTGGTAATCTCATTTCTAGACCACACGTTATATGTACTCAAAATCATATGTTGATGCAGAGATTCTGCAGCAAGCAGGGATGGGATCATCCCCAAGAGACAGAAGCTTGAGCCGCCATAGAGAAAGGTCGAGATTTGCATCTCCGAGCAAATGATATGTACACAGCCAATTTTGCACTTTTGTCTCTCAAGGCTCGTACTGTTTCTAAATCTTTGCTTTTGATCTTTCGATTGCTCAACTAGTATATATGATTGATTATACATATAAATATATGTGCCTCGTATGCGTCAACTTGAAGTTTGAATACATATACATATAGAACTATGTAAGATACTTGCTGAAAGTACAGTTTGATGTCCGAGTGTTGGTGCATATTGAGGGTTGGGCCAACCACAAGGGTCATATATGTTTCCCGTTACTTTGAATATAGAATATAAGATTGCTTCTTCTAATCTGAATTGGCCACATTTGTTTTATGTTTTGGGTTGATCTGATTTATTCAGTTCTTGATTTACAAAATTTAAGGTATACTGGCAAGTGGGATCACTAATAGGTTTTAGGAAAGTCAAGGATATTTAAAATCTGAGCTTTTAACATTTCGCCAGAGAACTTTTTGTGGTGTTCGATAAAGGAAGTATAATTATATAAAACTAAAAGTATTCAAAGGGAAATTACACATTTTATTCCTCAATTATTTGCAATTAACATAAATAATTCCTAATTATCGTGATTGCAAAAAAATTCCTCAACTCAACGTTGACCATGCAAAATTAAGATTAATATAGTCAACCGTTAACTGAGAAAACGGAATACGTTATATTAAATCTTGTTAACTTTTTATGAGTCTAATTTCGTAGAGTTAATATAAAGTTGAGGAATTAATTTGCCAAATTAAAAGTTGAGGAATTAATCTGTAAAATTATTAAACTTGAGGAATTAAATGAACTAATATTTAAAAATATACACATAACTGTTAAGAAAATATTACATAGCACTAAAAACTATTGAATGTGCAAAAAATCAAATAAACTATATATAGCTCTGGTCTAATAAAAATAGTAGTTCAAGTTGAGAAAAAAATGTAGCATTTTGCAAAAAAAAAAATCATGTGGTAAAAAACAGGTAAATTCTATTTTTTTGAAAACAGTTTAGTTCTGATCTATTTTCAAAATAATACAAAAGAAAAAAACAAAATTTAGATAACATAAAAAGATAAGAAGAATATTAGAAATTAATTTAACAAACGTATATATTTTTAATTTTATATACGTGATGGTTCTCATGTGCTACAAACCAGATTTTTATAATTATAAAACAATACTTTACAATATAATTTTATAGTCCAAAAACTACTAATCTAAAATAAAAATGTGGCTCACTAGAAATTAAAAAAAAGTAGTTGATACCTATCCCACATTCTCTACGGTTCGAATCTGACTATATAAATCTATAAAAATACGATGGTAAGATCCAAGTAATTTAGGCTTTCATGCATGAACAATAGAGATTCAACTAAGATTACTTTATTAAAAACATCAAATACAAAAAAAAAAGTTTCTGTAACTGTAAAAACTTATCGGTTAGGTTCTTATATAATTTTATATAATTGTTTTGATTTTTCTCTTTTCAAATTTAATAGTTTTTAATGTTAAACGAAAATCATTAAAATTGTTATGAACAAACAATTTAATAGTTTTCTCACATTCAATAGTTCTTAGTGCTACGTAATAATTTTTACCGTTGTTATCAATAAGTTTTAACAATTATGTGTATATTTTTAAATTTCAGTTCATTTAATTCCTCAAGTTTTATAATTTTACAGATTAATTCTTCAACTTTTAATTTGGCAAATTAATTCTTCAACTTTATATTAACTCTGCGAAATTAGATTCATAAAAAGTTAACGAGATTTAATGTAACGTCTTCCGTTTTCTCAGTTAACGATTGATTATATTAATCTTAATTTTGCGTGGTCAACGTTGAGTTGAGGAATTTTTTTGCAATCACGATAGTTGGAGATTATTTATGCCAATTGCAAATAGTTGAGGAATAAAATGAGCAATTTCCCAAGTATTCAATTGGGAATATGAGATCGGAATAACGATAGGATATTAATCAGATCTAGAAACTGCTCAGACCGGTCTAGATAACAATTAGAGGTTTGTTGATATAAGTTAACGGTCTAGACTTACTCAGACCGGCTTACATAAACGAAATGGCTGAACCAGAAATAGGAGAAATTAGAAAGCATAAACCTGTTCTTAACAGAGCTTCCTATCACGGATGACAGAACACAAACATTGAGCTGCAAACGTCAAATGACTCTTTGTTTTTTTCATGGTTCTCATGTTTTGTGATTGTGACAGTGATTAGTCAGGCCTGGGCAAATTATCCGGAGCCAAAGGAATCGAATCAAAGTCATAAATACCAAAACAGTTTCTTTTTAAAAAAAAAAATATTTTGGATACCTGAATTGAACTTATATCCAAATGGATAGATACTTGAGTCAAAATACAATTATTAACATAAAATATTATATACACTTAAACTTTTAGAAAATAAAATACTTAAATTACAATTATAAACTCAATTTTTAAAAGTTATTTTGGGTAGTTCGGATAAAAATATCATAATTCCGATAGTTTAGATATTTTTAAGTATTTCAGATTTTTTAAATAGTTTAAGTAGTTCAAATAAATAAACGTAACTGATACAAATATATTTCGGATCCAAAGTGATTCTTCAATCTATCCACACCAAAAGCTATCCGAATAAGAACCGAGCTGATTTTTTTGCGGTTCTTCAATCTAAACAACAACCAATCCGAACCAAAAGCAACCAAAATGAGAACCAAACGAATTTTTCGTGGGTTCCAATATAGAAGTCTTAAACCCCTATACTTGAACAAAATGAAATCTGAAAAATCGAACCTAATGTCCAATCCTAGTGATTACTTGGAGAAGCCAATCAAATCGCAACAGTTTCCCAATTTCCAAAGCTTCGATTTGTTTCGAAAGTCATTTAAAATGAATGAAGAACATTCATGCTTGTATCAAGAGACGTAAGAGACATAAAGAAACGTATGCGTTTAAATTTTCTACCTCTATATAAACGAACTATGAATTTATATAATTCATAACTTAAACTTTCCAAGGATATTCAACCAAAAACAAAATTACAAAATTCTCTCGATTTTTGAAATAAATTCGTGTCTTTTGCACTTTGCACTTTGCACTTTCCTTTTCGCATTCATAAATTTTTTTTATGATATATTATTGTATTTAATTTAAAATTTTAGAAATATTCTCATACATATAACACGCTTGAATGATGTTTTTGAAGGAAACTTTCCTCTTTTCACTTTTACTAAGAAAAGCCCTGTGAAAAGACAGCTCCACTTCTCTCACTTTCTCTCACTCACTCTACAGCTTCCAAAAGCTTTTCTTTAATGGCGATTATCACTGAAGAAGAAGAGGAATCGAAAACCCTAGTTACACCTGAGATTAATTCGAAGTCGGAATCGGCGGCTATGAAGAATCCCCAACATAAACCCGAATCTCAAAATCCTTTCCCTTTCTGGTTCCACTTTACACTCGTCGTCTCTCTCGCCACTATCCTTTCTGTATCTCTCTCTCTTTTCTCTTCTCACAACGATCCAAGATCCTGGTTTCTCTCTCTCCCACCAGCTCTCCGTCAACATTACTCAGATGGACGAACAATCAAAGTCCAGGTAAACCCTGACGAGTCACCGATCGAGGTTTTTGTAGCTGAATCTGGTTCGATTTATTCAGTGAATGTGATAATCGTTCATGGGTTAGGTCTTAGTTCGTATGCGTTTCGGGGAATGATCCAATCGCTAGGATCGAAAGGGATTCATGGTGTGGCTATTGATTTGCCCGGAAATGGATTCTCTGATAAATCGATGGTTGTGGTAGGTGGAGATAGAGACATAGGGTTTGTGGCTAGGGTTAAGGAAGTTTATGGTTTGATTCAAGAGAAAGGTGTTTTCTGGGCGTTTGATCAGATGATTGAAACCGGAGATTTGCCGTATGAGGAAATCATAAAACTCCAGAACTCGAAACGGAGAAGCTTGAAAGCTATTGAAATAGGGAGTGAAGAAACAGCTAGGGTTTTAGGTCAAGTGATTGACACTTTGGGTTTAGCTCCTGTGCATTTGGTTCTTCATGATTCAGCTCTAGGGTTAGCTTCAAACTGGGTTTCGGAGAATTCTCCCAGTATTCGAAGTATATCGCTTATTGACTCCAGTATTAGCCCAGCATTGCCTTTGTGGGTTTTGAATGTACCGGTAATTAGAGAGGTTTTGTTAGGATTTTGGTTTGGTTTTAAGCAGCTAGTGAGCTTCCGTTGCTCAAAGGAGATGACTTTATCGCAAATCGAAGCTCATAGAATACTCTTAAAGGGAAGAAATGGGAGGGAAGCTGTTGTTGGTTCATGGAGGAAGCTCAATCATAGCTTTGACATTGCCCAGTGGGGTAACTCAGATGCGATTAGTGTTATCCCGATGCAAGTGATTTGGTCTAGAGAAGGGTCTAAAGAGTGGAGCGATGAGGGCCAACGTATAGCTAAGGCTCTTCCAAAGGCAAAGTTTGTCACTCACTCAGGCACCCGGTGGCCTCAGGTTAGAGATTTATTGGACTTTAGAAGTCATATTAGGCATTAGCTTTATCGAATTGCACAAAAAAAGATCGACTGAATCGATCTCTAGCATGTAATGACTAAGGTTATAATTTAGAACCACATCCAATACCAGAAATTAGAGCGTCATAATCAGTTATCGTTGAGGTTTAACATTGTTAAGATCTGATTGTTTTCTTGTATATACTTTGTTTTGTCATGATTTTGTATCTATTGTGCTCTCTCCAACGATTGGAGATGCTGTTTAGCTCTGTAGCTTCTTTGTTTGTGTTGCTAAACTTGTTTGTAGAACACAAAGTTGCAGTTTTTTCATTTTGATTAGATGAACTTGTTGAGTTGTCTAGTTGAAATAGAAAATCTAAATTTTTGACATTTTAGATTAGAGTTAGAGTACTTACGGTCGTTTGTATCATTGAAGGGTATATAACTGAGAGTAATTACATAAATTCTATCACAAAGCTGTGGTCGTTTTGATGATGCAGGAAAGTAAATCCGGCGAGCTTGCAGACAAGATTGCTGATTTCGTCTCTCAGCTTCCGAGATCCATCAGACGAGTTGCTGAAGAACCTGTCCCGGAGAAAGTTAAGAAAGTTTTAGAAGAAGCAAAGGCCGGTGGTGACCATCACCATCATCATGACCAAGGGCATGCCCATGCTGGTTACACGGATGCTTACGGTCTTGGTGAGGGATGGACTACCTGATATACATTTGAGTTTCTTGTTTTGGTTATTATGACTATTTTGAGATTGTTTTTGTTCAAATTCTAAAATCTATATATATAAAGCTGAATCTCCCATTTTCTTATGCTGCCATATCATTATTCATAGTCTACAACATCAAGTTATAGGTTGAAAACTTTTTTTTTAATTTATTTTGTTTTTTGTAATTTTCGTAATAATTACCATCCATTAATCACTTTAATAGAATAAGTTTACACTAAAATTTGAAAAAAATTATTTCCATAAAAAGATAACTTAGATATTATTCATTCAAAAAGAAATTTCAATTTAATAATTTTAGTTCTATCAATTTATTTATAGGGTTTAGGAAAACTATATAAAGCTTAGAAAAACTATAAAGTTTTTTTTTTTGTCTAATAGCCTAGTTACCTAAAACGGTTCAGTGACCTAAAATAGTGGTATCAAATTTACATATATCATATCGTAAGGGTAGATTCGAGCACTCTTTGCTAGATTGTCTGCTTTCATGTTCTCTGCGCGTGGGATAAATGATAGGAAGAATACTAGTCTGATAAGAAGTCAACGTCTCAAGTCCTCGGAAGTGGTACAGTCCCTCACTCTCACGATCACCCACTCCAATCAGCGTCCTCGTGATGCGGTCCTGCAAAACCACAAGTCGATCAGTTATTTGCCCTACACAATAATTATCGGTAAGCAACTGTCCAAACGAGATTAAATTCGTATGAAAGTCGTCGACAAAGTAAACATTTCGCAGCTCAAGGTGAGATGTCAATCGAATATCGCCTTGTTGACTAGACAAAGCGTTCTCTCCAGCAGGCAAGCGAACAGGAACTGGGGCAACCGGACGTATATTCGAAAGAAGATCCAAGCGTCCCGTCATATGGTGAGTTGCTCCTGTATCCAAAATCCACAGAGGTTCATCAAGCTTACCGCTGAGACGTGAGGTAGACGGAGTCGAGTTAGGCTGGAAAAGCTTCATCAGAGTCTGCCATTGAGCATCAGAGAACCCAGTCAGACCTTGTCGGTCAGCATCTGTGAGCGCAAGGTTCGCTGCGACCTCAGTTTGCCCGGTCATCACCTGAGTTGAATTCGCACGAACAGTGGATCCCTGTCCGCGAGTCGACGAGGTCGTGCTTCCTCCTTGCAAGTTGTTGCGATTTCTGGGACGATCTCCCCACCATTCCGGAAACCCAATAACCCGAAAACAAGTCGAAGCCAGATGCCCTGTTCTCCCACAGCTTGTACAGACGACACCTGTACCTCCATTCAAACCTCCATTCGAGCCTTTCCCCGAGTTCTGGTTGCGCGTCACTCCATTCTCAGCACCAGTGTTGCGTCGTTGATTGGAGAACGAAGCTTGAGCCGCAAATCCCATTACCGGAGTAACATCCTTTCTCGCATTCAACTGCACCGTTTCGTTTTGCACGATGGTTTGGTAGACCGCGTCAAGATCTGGTAGAGGAATTTGTGCGCAAATTTGAGAACGCACAGCTCCATGAGTCGCATCATCAAGCCCGTAAAGAAAATCATGAACCCGGATTGCATCTCTTTCTTTCTTGTGCGCTGTAGCCAAATCACACGTGCACTTATTACAAGTACAAGTTTTTGTCGTTAAACAATCGGTCATGGAATCCCAGATTTTCGTCAACCGTCCGAAGTATTCTTCAACCGAAGAACCTATCTGTCGACAATTTGCCAAAGCTCCTCGAAGTTGCTGATATCGTGCTCCACTCTTAAGCGCAAACCTCTTCTTGATATGATCCCAAAGATCCTTAGCCACTTCGCGATGAGAGATGTTGCTTCGTATTTTTGGTTCGATTGTCAACTTCATCCACGTCACAATCAGATGATTATTCGCCATCCAATCTTCGGGATCCGGTGAGTCGTCGTTCGGTTTCGGAATGCTTCCATCCACAAAAGCAAACTTCTTTCGAGCACTCAGAGCCAAACGAAGGTTCTGAGCCCATTCGTCGTAATTTTGCCCGTTGAGCAAAGGCTGAGAGATGATCGCTCCGGGATTATCTCCGGAGGTCAAGTCGTAGGAAGAAATCGTCTTCCTTGTCTTCGTCGTCGATGCCACCGCGAGAGAGTCATCGTCTTTCCCCATCGTAAAACAGAGAACAAAACTCGAACAAGTTTTTGATCGATAAGAAAGTTTCAACTATGAGAGAATCGATTTTATCTGTTTCGCAGCTCTGATACCATGAGAAGCTGGAATTCTCTCTTGTATTCACAAGACCAAAAAAGGTCGAACTTATATACACGTACAAAGTGATAAATGCAAATCTAAGAGAATATACAATATACAAACTAAATGGAAATACTTCTATATTGTTAAGATATTGTCTTGATTGCCAAGTATTCCCTAATACTAACCGTTGTGTTTTCTTTTTCCTCTTTTGTTGATGCCGTCGTTGCATATCTCTTGTGTAGTTCCTTCGGATGAATGTAGCTCGAAGGTCTGTAGCTTCTTGAAGAACCCTCTCCAAGTCTCCTCTCTGTCCTCACTATATAATTTAGTGTTTATTGATTATGGATTAGATTTTTCCTAAATAAAATTAAACAAATGTTGTGAAATATAATTTGAAGCAATTACTAAAAATTAACTCTAATTGAAATGTATAAAAAGTTTGAAACCAATTGCTTAGAACATTTATAATTAGAATAAAATCAAAATTACTAAATAATCGTGGTTTGAGACAAACTTTCGAGATATGATAATTATTTCTAAGTGAGTTACATATGATATATAAAAATAAATCATTTTATGGTTAGTAATTAGTGTTCGGACATTGCATTGAAGATTCATTCATAAAGAAATACTCCCACGAAACTCGAATGAATACTCGCAATCTTTGATGGATATGGATGAATGCATATTATGATAAACGCATCATGGTATTCCAAAATAATAACATTTTCAAGTCAATTATTGAGACATCAAAAACTGTAAGAAAAAAAAAAATTGAAGAAAATAGGTCGACAAAAAGATGGAAGAAAATAGTAACTATTATATATATATAATTATATATATATATATAGACCAATATTGGTTTATGATTCATTTTTTCGCATTGATGAGAGAAAGAGAATAAGAGAGAGAGTTTTAGCTGATCTAGATTTGAACCATATTTGATTATTTGAACGTTAATTCTCCTTTTCCGCCATGTGAAATTTGGATTTAACTGATCGAAGAATAAAATATATATATCAACTATTTTCTAACGTTAGTTTTCAAATTTTAGAACATTATTCACCTTTTGCATTATATGAAATGTAAAAGTTAAGGATTTAACTTATATATATATATATATAGTATATACCAAATTTGGTTGGTTTGAAGCCTTGTTTCATAAAATAGCCACATGAAGAAACAATTTTTCAAATTTTTGAAGAAATAGCTTGTTTTGTGTCCAAACATATTATTTTTGGTTTCTACTATTTCTATAGCCACATGAAGAAATAATTTCATTTATCTGATTTAGTTATTTCCAAAAATTAATAATATAATGAATTCTAATTTTAATCTTAAAATTAATTTCGATTTTTTTAAAATTTAATTCAATTAATTTAGATTTTCTTAGATATTGTTAAGATTAATTAACAAAATTACAAAAATCAGTTATTATTATTATTAAAAAAATAGTAAATAAGATATTAACTTATTTTATTTTTAAATATCCAAATTTAAATAATATTCTCATAATGATAAAGATAATAAACAATATATTATTATATACTTTTTCATACTTACTTATTTTAAAAATTTAGATATTTAAAATTAATATATATTATATGGTAATATGAATAGATAGGGTAAAATTCTGTTTTTATATTCATAATCTTTTTCGAATCCATCGAATGAACGAGTTAAAATTAGTTTTTATAATCATGGTCAAATTTATTAAAACAAAATGATTTTAAAAATAAATTTTATCTAAACACAAAAATAAATTGCATCATTTATTAGAAAAATATTATATCTATAAAAAATACAAATTACATTATAAAATAATATTAAAAAAACAAAATTTCTCATGCAGACATAAAATGATATTAAAATGAAAATTACCGTAAATTTCCTGTGATGACATAAAAACAATAAAAGCGTGATCAAAGTTTAGAAATGAAATTTAGAATTGACCTACATTCCCATACATTCAAGAATTTTTAAGGTAAGAAAATTGGCATTTTTTTAACTATTCATCATAAACAAATTTGTTTGATCATAAAAGAAAAATGCCATATATCTTTCATGGTTTCGACTTTCTACCAGAAAAGTATAAAACAGTAAAGTAGTAGAAATCTAAAATAGATTTGACCAAAATGTATAGCCCTTCTATTACATAATATATCATCATTTTTTTACAACAAATGTCGTTTAGGATTTAATGTAAACTTGCTTAATAGGAGTATATAAATAAAATATAAATTTATCCAATATATCAATATATTAGCTAGGGATATAAAATTTGAAATTTTTTTTCTTCATTGGTGTAAAATATGCCGCACTAAATCAAATAAAAAATAGCCACATGGTAATTAAATAATAAATTCAGAAATTATTTGCATAGTTGTTCTTAGTTATTCATAATTTTGTCATCTATCCATTTGATTAAATCACGTAAGTCCAGTAATATGGTTGTTCCGTGAGACCACCTCTACCAACTCTGTCTGATCTATATGGGAGAATAAGATTCCTCATCTCCGAGCCTCTTTTATAAGAGAGTCGTTCCTGATATTCAATACACGAGAGATATGAACAATATAAAATATCTCAAAAGTCTCTCTAAGAAGTTGTTCTTAGTTATTCATTTATGCTCGCATGCAAATAGTAATATTTATTTTAAGTTTGTTATTTTTTGTTGTACACTGGATTAAAAGTATCATAGTACATTTCAATTGTTTTCATAGAAGAATATTAGCACAAGCACATTTTTGCATCTTTTGGTTCATAAAGTGGTTAATATTAACAAACTCACCATAAAAATATAAATTCGTTGAAGGAAAAATGTTACAAAAGTATCAAATGCGTGGAGTATTATTAGAACGTGCAAAATCGTTATTAATACAATTAGTCAATATTGACAAACACATTATT